CAGACAGCACATTCTGGTTTTTAAATGTTTTGAAGCCTAGAACAGCAGCTCTTGATTTGTCCTGCATGATAAACTCCCGCTCTGTAGCGACTTAAAAAAACCCAGAAAACCATGCACAGACACAATATGTTTAACTTTATCAAATACCATTCAGAATTATGAATAAATATGCCACTTCTAGATAAACAGAAATATGAAATGCTTTATTTGAGCTAGGTAAACATCTGAAGGACAGCAAATTGCCACAGCAAGGTGGTCTTTTCAAGACATCCATCTCAAAGACTGCATCTGTTCCCCAACTGCCATTATAAATACTGGTTTTGGCTGTCCCAGTTCTTTCAAAAACTGTGAAGACTCTAAAAGGTATTTCTGATGTTAAACAAGAGTTGATCATAAGCAGCACAAAGCACCAAACAACAGGTTGCTTTCCAGGACATCTAACATTTTCCCTTTGGTTTTATAACAAAATTAAGGAAAGTACATATTACTTACAGACGATTCTAGCAAGATGTAATTCCATCCAATTATTCTTTCATTCTGAGTTTCTTCTACATCTTAATACAATTTTATTTAAAACTACCAGACAACTGTCTGGATATTTCAGTCTGCCCTGAAAGGCCTGTTTTCAGCACACACAGAGGCAAGTTTTAACAATACTTGTTATCAGTCAGAGTAAACTGGACTTTATCTCATTCAACGAGCACACTGAAAGTACAGCTGATACTAAAAGATCATTTTTACTAGGCTGCACGTATCAAGAAGAAAAATTCTTCAGCTTCTTATAGTCTTCCACAGTAAAGGCACGAGGCAAGTAGTGATTTGGAAGTCCATTCAGCCTTAGTCCAAACACGTGGGCAATGCATTAATACTTCCCCCAAACCACTTGACACTCAGAGCTTAAAAATAAAATAACCAACATAGGCATGAAAGCAGATGTCCATAACCTCAAGATATTGAGAAGTAAAACTGAAAACAATCCAAAGCAAAATTGAAAGCACTTCTTCACTTTCCAAGTTGTAAGAAAATGACGA